TGAAACTGACCGGCCCCTGGCCTGAATTGTTTTTTGCCTATACTGTTCTGGCCAGCATTTCATTCTGTGCACTAAGGGCCTCACTCGCTCCACTACCCGCCACATGCACAAAGACAAAAATTATGGTGATGTATCTTTCCATGTTCTAATAGAAAATTCATCCTTCATTTTGCACAATTGGTGAGCAGTGAAGCGAAGGCCCTAAACCAGTTGTGTCTGCGGCTAAAGTGCAACGGGATCATTGCGCACGCCTATAGTTTTCTTTTTTCACTCGTTCTTTTTCAGAAAAGGGCAATGGCCTTGTGATATCATCATCATAGAACTGACGGCCCCAGATTAGGCAGAATGATTGTTTAGCTGGATTCGAACTTGGGTCTGCATTTCAGCAGTTCATGGGTGTAGCGACTGAGCTAGGCCCGTTGGTGCGCAAGACTTTAGCGGGGGTGGGTGCAAACATAATCATATATGGGGTGAGCCCTCCAGCAGGGTGGGGGTTCTGATTTCGCCAATTGGCTTTCACCAATCGATGGTTAAAAAAAAAAAAAAAACGCATAAGCTTCTAGGCTACCAGCTGGGCAGCCAGGGTCACTTTGTAGGCTTGTTTGCCCGGGCAGTCTGGCCGTGCAAGGGCCAGAGAAGGTTCCAGCCAAAAAAGAAAAAGCATCAAAAACAAATTCCGAAAAATCCGGAAAAAAACTAAGTTATCCAGAAAAAAAACTGAACAACTTTTGCCTCAGGGTCACATCGAAATTCCTTATATATATAGAAACAGTTTGTCACAGCCCCTCGTTTGTTGTCCTCTTCTCTCTCTCTGCCTACGGTTTACCAGGCAGTTCTGTTTGTGACAAACAGAACTGCCCGGTAAACCGTAGGCAGAGAGAGAGAAGAGGACAACAAACGAGGGGTCACAAACAGAACTGCCCGGTAAACCGTAGGCAGAGAGAGAGAAGAGGACAACAAACGAGGGGCTGTGGCAAACTGTTTCGTATATATATCATGGCTACGAGCGGACGTCCGGACCGCCGTCCAGACGGTCTGGATTCATTCCGGACTCCAGACGTCCGGTCTGGAAGGTCCGGATCTGCCAAAATTTGAGGGGGAAAGAAAAAAAAAAAAGGTCCAGGACCCTTCCCCATGGAGGAGCCAAGCCTCCAAAATTGTTTTGGGGGTTTTTCACGCCCATTTATGCTTTTTGGGGGAGTCCGGACATTCTCTCTCTCTATACTAATTTATTAGACAACCCCAACTTTTTAATTATTAATAATTCATTACCTTTTATTAGTTTTTAAAGTCCTTTTTAAAGCTTTTTGTAATTTTTGACTTCTAACTCAAGTTTGGTTAGGAATTCTGACACGACTCTGAGGCAAAAGTGGTTTGCATTGTTATTCTGCATAGCATACTTTTTTTTCAGATTTTTTTATTTTTATTTTTTTTAATGGTCCGGACATTTCCGGACCTGTCCAGACATCCGGACCGTCCGGATCCCCCCATGTCCGGAGGTCCGGAAATGTCCAGAATGCCAGACGTCCGGAAACTACCGGGCACGGGTCCAGTTCCATGTCCGGAAATGTCCGGGTCCGGGTCCGGGTCCGGCGTAGCCATGATATATATATATATTTGACGATATATATAGATACAGGGTACCCGGCATTCGGGACGGGCCGAACGCCCGAACCCGAACGCCCGAACGTATGGGACCCCTTGGGGATGTGTTCGGCCGTTCGGGCCGAACACGGACCCAACAAAAAAAAAAAAAAAAAAAAAAAAAAAGTCATCAAAAAAATCTGAAAAAAAGATATGTTATGGAGAAAAATAAATTAAACAAGATTTGCCTGAGTCAGGTATAGAATCACACTTCATGCATAAAACATGAGTACGCTGGCGTACAAAACGCCTAGCACAGTATCAGACAATTGCAAAATCTTATTGAAAGAATTAACACTTGAGATCGGCGTCCTCGACGCGTTTCGACAGCAGCCACGCCGTCGTCTTCAGGAGGTTTACCACCTACCAACCCGTACTAACCATGCAAACCCTTGCCCACTCCCGTCTGCTCAACCCTCACGCGTCCGGATGCTCGAGGGCGTTGCGCGACGTTAGTCCCGTTGAAGAGGTCGAAAACTTTGCAATGATTGCCTATATACCAGTCAATTCCTTCCTACAAACAAAATCACGAGAAACATCAGGAAAAAAAGCAAAAAACCAAACACGCCGGAACTGGCCAAGACAATATCGAGACCCAGACCCTACTAGAAAGTTCGTTCTTCCTACCAGTGGACTACCCAACAAGGATACCCAACAGTGATACCACAGTCCTACTTAGACTGAATTGGTCTGGGCACAAGATAAAGCGAAAAACGATAAAAAACAAAAAATCAAACAGTGCCAGGTCTAGGATACTCGATGCATACATCCATTCACCCTGTCCCAATACACAATGCGTGTAGCATATCAGAAAGTGAAATGCACTGAAAGCCTAGAATCTAGCAATGACGAAAGTGGCAACAACCAGCAGCATAG